CATCGGCTGGGGGTGATGGCGATGGCAGCCGGGATCGGGCAAGGAGAGGGCAGAGGGGCTGGGATGAAGATGCCAGGGCTGCAGGAGGTGAATGGGTCTGGGGTCGGGGTGGGTGCTGGGAGGGGAGAGCAGGGTGGTACTAGGGTGCAGGTGTGATAACACCCTCCATGAAGCCAAAGGTGTTTCCGGGCTGCAGATGGAAACCTGTTCTGCTGGGGCGAGGCGTGACTGTTGTCTTCTTGCAAAATTGGGCTCCCAAGAGCTTTTCGCTGCTTTACCCCTTTTCTCTGTTTTTTTTAAGAAAGGTGCCAAGCTCAGTACTACAAAAGCATCCCTGACAGCCCCTGTGATGGTACCCGAACGCTTTCCCAGCAGCGGGTTCCCGCTCCCTGGCCAGGGCTGGGAGAGGGGGACCGTCCCCGCAGCCGGCAGGGCCAGCTCTCTGATGGCCACTTCTGGTGGCCAAAGCTGGAGGGATTCAGTTCCCATTTTGCAGTTTCCAGTTTCTGGCTCTGGCCCCCGTGCGCGGGCTGCGGGTGCCCATACGGCCGGGAGCCCTGGGCAGCTCCCCTCCAGACGCCCTGGTGTGGGAGCATCCACGGGGCCAAAGCCGGCAGGCTTCCCCCGCAACCACCAGCACCCATCGCCTGCAGGCTGATGCCATCTCACCAGCTTGCTCCCGCAGGAGCATCCCATGGGCGCCAGGACCCAAATCCATCCCTCGCGGAGGGGGTCCTGCATCCAGCGCCACATTTCGGGGCTGGATTCCCATGGGAAAAGGGGAAGCATCCGAGTGGGAAGGCAGAAGGAAGTGGCTGTGGGTGGAGGGGTCGATGGGGGGACAGGACAGGGCAGGGGAGGGGGGGACAAGTGACTTTTCCATCCAGGAAGGTCCTGGCTCCCGCTCTGAACCGGGTCCAGGCCTCTCTCTGCTGCAGCCAGCTGAACCCCAGCGGGAGCCGGCCGAGCTTTGTGTCTCGGCAATAATGTCTCATAAAATTAAATGATGTGTGTGTTGGAGTTCGGTGGATGTGGATATTTGTGTCTGAGCTTGCTCCAGCAGGAGCCTTTCGCTCCCATAAGAGCTGAACCCATGTGAATATCCTCATTTTTCATGGCTTTTTTTTTTTTCCGCCCACCCTCCTTAGGAAAAAGCTTTACCCTGACGATCACCGTCTTCACCAACCCCACCCAAGTCGCTACCTATCACCGAGCCATTAAAGTCACCGTAGACGGACCCCGGGAGCCACGCAGTAAGTGATGGGTTTTATTTGGCATGCACCGAGGAGCGCGGGGGGCGCAGGGGGCCGAGCTCCCCGGGGCCGAAGGATGCAGGATGCCTCTGCGGCTGGGCAAAGCCCGGCGGGGCGGGCGGCGTTCGCAGCGCGCAGAGGTAATGAGACGGCGCTGGCGTGGCCGAGCGAGCCCGAGAGCGCGCGCTGCGGCGGGCACGGCTTGGCTGCTTTTATTCTCTCCGCACGCAGGCGTGTGGCCCTGCCTGCAGGGAAAATGCTTTGGGCTTCGTCGGCAAAAATCCACAGGACTCGAATCTGGCGGCGCGCAGGGCATTTCTGAGGGGTTACAAAGCCAGAGACGCTGTGCCCGCTTCGGAGGCTGACTTGCTGATTTTTAAACTAAAAATGTTTGCAGGTTTCCTCCGCGCCGTGCTTGTATTTGCCTGTCTGTCCGCACGGGCCCAGGAGAGCTCGGAGAGCACCTTCCCCTTTTGGTTAGCGGTGGTTTCGCTTTCGGGTTGTCAAAGGCTCCGGCTGGCAGCGCCCACGGCCGGGGGCTGCGTTGCTTGAGAAAACCAAAGAGACGATTCAACCGCAGAAATGTCTTTCTGTTTTGATCGACTAGGCTCTCCTGGATGCAGGACGGTGCCTCTTGGTTGAGGGTGACTCTTTGCAAAGGCGGCTGCAAATCGTCCTCGCTGGGCTGGTTTTCGGCGTCGGGCTGCTTTCAGCTCACCTTGGCATCTCCCGTGATGCGAGGAGCGCGGGGAAATGCTCCGGAGCCGTCGGCTGGAGGAGTTTCCTTCTGCCATGAGTATTATTTGCTCTGTGGGACCCCCTCTGCGGCGGGACCTCGTCCCCGGGGCCTCCGTCTCCGGCTTTTTGCCCCGGCTTCGCCTTCCTGCTCGCTCAGCACCGCCACAGGGACCATAAGGCAGAGTTTGTTCCCTTTGCGTGTAAAGCTGTCAGTGCCCAGATTGAAGGGAAGCGGTTTGATCCTTCTAAATATGCTTTAGAAAATATTTTCTGTTGATGCTGTCGTTGGGCCATCGGTGCCCTTTGATGTCAGGCCAGGTGGAGGCTGTTACCTCGGCGAGGGGGTTTTGTTTGCATTGGGGTTTGCTGGATTTTCTTCCCCCTTGATTTTTATTTTGGAGCACGAGAGGCTTTACGGAGCCTGTCAAGCTGGCGGGCTGGATTTGCAAAGCCGGCGTCCAGACGATGCAATGCTGTTGGTTTGGTTCTTTTTTTTTTTTTCTTTTAAGCCAGAAACACAAGGCAGGTCCCTGTTGTGGGGCTGCGGCAGCGAGCAAACGTGGGTCGTGGTGGGTGCTGCAGACACCGGGAACGGGCTGAGCCCGCGGCTGGGAGGGGAAGGCAGGCAGGGCTCGGGCAAGGAATTTCACAACTCTTCCAGGTCAGGAATAGAAACCGGGTCTCCTGACTCCTGGCTCAGCCCCTTATCTTCTGCATCAGATCGCCTTTCTAGTAATAATAATAATAATCAGGAATACATAAATAATAATACAAGGTGAGATAGTTACTACTCTTAGCGTTTGGTTTGCTCTGACTTCACCGATAGCCAGCGCTCGCCAAACCCCCGCTGAATCATACCCGCTCCTCCTGAATTTCAACATCTCGGCCGATCGCTCCCGATCTTTAATTTAAATTTTCTGATATGGCTTCGTAGCCAGGCGGGGAGGTGGGGGGCTGAGCCGTGGGCACGTTGGCCCCGCGCTGTTTGGGTTGGGGCCGTGCCTCCGTTTGGCATAATTAGGCAAAAGCGGAGGCTGCCGCGGCTTGCCCTGGCCCTGGCTTGGCGTGCCCGAGGGATGCCCTCCCTGGGACGCCCGCCCGGGCTGCAAGGTCAGCAGTTTTCTGCCTCTTTTTTTTTTTTCCCCTGATTTGCAGACCCCGAAACGTTTGTGCCGGAGGTGTAGGCTCCTTAGGGAGGTCTGTGTGGTGTTTATTTGCTGCTCGTGCCTTTGCCTTGTGTGGACCCCAAAGGCCGATCTCTCCCCCATCCCTGCACCCCCACAGCCCATAAATTGCTGATCTAAGGAGTTTAGACCCAAGTTGTGATTTTGGGGGGATTTTTTTGAGATGATCGTAGATTTGTTGGCAGCAAAGGTCGTATTTTGCTTCCCAGTTTGACCCTGGGGCTTAAATTCAGGATTGATGAAAATCCAGTCTTGCACTGGAAGAAAAAAATTTTAAAAAAAACCCTTTTCTTTGCCATACTTTGGTTTGCATTTTCTAATGAACCTGAAATTAAAAAGAATAATTAAATAATGCCCTTTGCCCTTCCCTCCCTGCAGTCCTCTGCAGAAACCCTCGGTGTGGAAATACCGGCTGCAAAACCATCCCAGCTTGCTCGTGGAAAGCCGGCGTGGTTTTCCCGGTTAGCCTGCCACTGGGTGGCTCTCCGGCATAGCACCCTTCGGTGCGCCGGCACCCGCCGGGCTGGCCGTCTGTCCGTCCGAGCCGGTACCTATACTTTTTAACATATATATATATATGTAAATACATCTACGTGTGTATATATGTGCATATATATATGTGTGTCCACAAAAAATGTGGGTTTTTTCCCCTTCTTGGCTGCAGTGGTGCAAACGTGAGGGACGCTGTTGCGCAGGATCCGCGGTGGCCGGGGCTGGAGGCGGGATGTGGGGCTGGGGAGGGGCTGGTGTGAGCGGGCAGAAAAGCACCCTTAATGTGGAAAGAATTGCCCATTTGTCTTGGTATCCTGGGAAAAGCCCTGGGCATCGTCTTCTCAGATGCGGCGAAATTCCTCCAGCGAACGTTCTCGTGGGGTTTTGGGGTCAGAAACGCGGCTGGGCTCCACGCCCCACCTCTGAGCATCCCATTCATCTTCCACCCCTGCCCCATCGCTTCATCTCAGCCCTTGAGCGAGCCTTTTAACTAGAGCTGCGCCCAGAAAAACTTCTGAGGAGGCTGAAATTGAGTCGAGTTGGGCGAGAAATCGCAGGGAAGCGGGTGACGGCCAGAGCCCCTCGCGGGGCCGGAGCCTGGCCGGGGGGACCGGGAGAGCTGGCCCGCAGTGCCGGAGGCTCCTGCTCGCTTGAAGGACCCACAGCCAAGCGCCGGGGCCGGCGTGGGGCTGCTGATGGCGGTGGCTTTGGTCGGACCACCGTCCCGGCTGCTCTGCTGCGGTCCCCGAGCATCCCGCAGGCTCCGGCCGAGTGCCCCGCTCGCTCTGAGATATTTTTTTTCTTGTGCTCAGGCTCTTTCTGGGTTAGATCTGGAGCGAAAAAGGGCATTTTTTCAAGTTGACACCTTAGCTCTAAACAAATGGCGCAGCGGGTGCCAAGTGTTGACATACTTTGTACAAACAGGAAGTAATAAAATATTTTAACTTCCTGTGGAATTTCCTTCTTTTTTCCCCCCTTCTCTGCAGCTCTTTAGCAAGAGCCCGACGCGGCCGAGCTGCAGCCCTGCTGCAAAGCCCTCTCGCATCCACAGCTGCTTGCAAAATAATCCACAAGAGGCAGAACGTGGAAAAATGAATAGCTGGAAGCTATACAGGGCTGTTTAGTCTGTTCCTGGGTAAATGGGAGCATCTCCAGGGCCTCCCCCATCACACCCACCTGCTGGCCGCCTTCCCTCGCCCTTCCCTTCCCACCGCTCGCACCGGCGCTGCTGGCACTTCTGCTCTCCTCCTCCCAGCTCCCCCTTGCAGCGCCAGCCCCTTTCTGCCCATCTCCTGGGAACTCTTGTGCAAAGCCTTTTTTTGCCTTTAAATGCCTTCCCCCCCCCCCTTTGACTTTTTTCTTGCTGCCATTCAGTCGTCTTTAACCTCTCTCCCCGCTTTCTAAATCCCTTTTGCCCTTAACCCCTTGTTTCTGATTTCCACCCCATCCCTGCTGTCCCGGTCACTGTGTTGAGGAGGAAAGGGAGACCAAGAGGGCTTCATCGCCCACCGTAACCCTTGTGGAGAAGCACGTCCACACCCAGCCGTGCTCGCCTGGGGTACAAACCACCCCCCGGCTGTGAGCGTACCGCAGCCCCATGTGCCGGGGAGGTGGGAAGGGGTGCAAGGCAGCCGCGCCGGGATGCGCGGGGCCCTCTCCGCTTGCATGGCGAGGGCTTGGACCGCTTTGAGGGTAAAGTTGCTTTCTGAGGTTTAATGCTGCGTAGTTTTGGGTGAATGGAGCTGTTTTTCTTGCCCCCCTCAACAAAGAAGGCGAGGAGGGGAGGGAGCGGGGTGCTGGAGCGGGGTGCTGGGGGCTGCAGCCCTCCCCCGGCAGCGCAGACCTCCCTGCTCTTGCAGTTTAATTTTCTCCTGTCCTGGGCTGAATTACAGTTGGACTTGATGATCTTAAAGGTCTTTTCCAACCTAAACAATTCGATGAATGATGAAATGGAGGGTGAGGAAGGGAGGGCTGTAGCTTGGGTTTCCACACCTGAAGAGCGAGGGCGGGAGGGTCCCCGTGTCCCCCGTCGCTGCCCCCTCGGGCACACGGCAGTGCGAATGCTGGCAGAGGGGCTGGTGCTGGTTGTTGGTGTCCCCCGCCCTGCTTGTTTGGGGTGTGCACGTCAGAGATGTGGTGCTTTTGGTCGTGTCCCTGCTTGGTGTGACCACAGTAAGTGCCAGGAGCGCGTTCCCCATCCTGCAGCGTCCGCTGGCTCGGACCGGGAGGAGGAGGGGGCTTGTGGCTGGGCTCCCCCCAGCCAGGCAAGACCATTTCATATCCCCTCTCCTACCATCTTGTCCCTGCAGGGTTTTTCTAACTGGGCCCCATCCTGCACAGGCACAAATCCCCTCTGTGGCCATTTTTCCTCCCCAAAAGGCTTCTTCCCCGCCATGTCCCTGGGGAGGGAGCTACGGGGCCATGCCGGGAGCGGTGCCACCCCGGAGGGGACAGCCTGGCAGCCGCCAGCCCAGCTCGCTGCGAGCACTCGCTCCCCCCTCGCGCGGCACGTAGCCGGTGGGTGGAAAGGCTTCTCACCTCCCACGGCTCTGAGTCGTTTCCAAGAACCGCTGCTTTTTGCTTTCA